GGAGACTCTAAGTCGACAGACACCTAACAAATTATTTCTAAGATACTCATATACCAAATCAAGTGTCTCTCTAAATACATGAAGACCCTTTTCTAAATGGTAAAATCCTAAAGCCATGTAATATGGGCAGTAGTTTGCTTCCCTATAGATGCGATGCACCTTACATTGTGATTCTTATTGTATAAAGCCCTTGCACCTACATATCTGATTGGTTAGTGTACTCTTTATTCTTTTTTATTTTTATCAATACGACCTTAAAAAGAAATCAATGGACTATATATATATATGGTAGGAAGAGAATTTCAACGGATAGTCGATAATATTAAAAAAATTAATGATAATAATGAGAATATTTCATGAGAGGAAGATTTTAAACATTTTCATTATCTAGTGAATTTTTCCTTGAAGGGAAAATTTAATTGTTTTTTTTTTTTTTTTTTTTTCTTCTTTTGGTTTAATATACATGTAATGATAAACAGTAATGAATATATTTGTTTAATATACATCAAATAATTGAAGAGATTGTTTTACTACATATTTATGCATTAATTAGGGATACATAGCAAGCTTGACCCACTTATTAATATTAAATGCACTCTTGGGTTTTTTCTTCCCTTTTTTTTTTCATGTTTCTAAACTATTGTTAATGTATACCCTATTTAATGTATAGGGTAGCATTGTATATATAGATATATATCAATATTGCCTTAAAAAGAAATCAATAGACTATATATAGTAGAAGAGAATTTTAAGAGACAATCCCTAATATTAGAAAATTAATGATAATAATGAGAATATTTTATGAGAAGAAGATTTAAACATATTTGTTATCTAGTGAACTTTTCATAAAGGGGAAAATCAAAAGGTGGTGTCTCTTTCTTTTCTTTTGGTTTAATATACATGTACCAAAAAATAATAATGAATATATTACTCTAGGGCAATGATACATATAGCCCACAAAATTACATACTCTGTTACACACTAAAAATTTTCGTTACTTGTGTTGTTAAAATTGACAGTTTTCATTACTTGTGCCGTTAAAACTAATGGTTTCCATTATTTATACCATTAAAATTGACGGTTTCCGTTAGTGTGTAATATAGTGTATAACTTTGTAGGATATATGTATTACTGTCCATTCCTTTAATATACATCAATTAATTGAAGAGACTATTTTACTACATATTTATAATTAATTAGGGATATTTAGCAATCTTGACCAACTCATTACTATAAAATGTACTCTTGGTTTTTTGTTTTCCATTTTTTCTTTCATGTTTTTAAACTATTATTAATGCATACCCTATTTAATGCATAGGATAGCATTTTATATATATAGAGAGAGATTATGATAGTTAGTTGATAGATGATAAAAGCATTCATATTTATTATTTAATAAATTAAAATTAATCTATAAATTAATATTTTCAAATACTTTCACTATCCTAAAATAACTGTAATTTTTTAAGTTTTTCTCTAAATTAAGAATTTTGGGATGATTTATGTATTTATCAATATTATATTTTTGAAAAAGCAAAAAAATAAAATAAGATTTTTTGCAATAGAATAATTAATCAAAATAATAGATAATAATAGTGTTGAAGTAGAAAAAAAAATATTTGTCTACTTAAAAAAAATAAAAAAATAACAATGAATTTGAGATAAAATCAAAACCAATAAAAACAACTATTTTAGAATAGAGGGAAAACTAACCAAATGATTATGAAAAAAATAATAATAGATGAGTAGAAACCTAGCTACTTATACAAAAATTTTGCACACTAAATTTATATAAAATTTCAACCATTTATCTTTCCATTTTCAATAGTTGAGATTTTTCATAACTTTTTAAATGAAAAATATAATTATCTTTAATAAATATGAATAAATTTTAACTATTAAAAATTGAGAGATAAATAATTGAAAATTTGTATAAATGTGATATAGAAAGTTTGTATATAAATAGATACTACTTATAATATATTTATGTGGCCTTTCACCTACCATCAAAACTACATTTCATTAAATATAATCTAATTCCCTTCTAAGTTTTAGGCTAATGGTTAATTAAAAAATGTTATTAAAATGCTAACAACTTAGGTAGTTTAGTTATAATTTTTTTTTTATTGGACATAAGAGGTTTTGAATTCGAGTTACATGATATGGGTGAGGTAAGTTGAGAGATGTAAAAAAATTGTCTTTCATTATACAATTTAAAATCAAGAAAGAAATGTTTATTAAAACTACATTATTTTGAAATAAAGCTACAATATGTTTATTAAAACTATGTAATTTTAGAGTTACTCACTATAAAGTTTAAATACCGAAATATTTATTCCCTCCATTTCATTTTTGTTTGATAAAATGAAAATATAATAATTTATTGATAACATTTCATATTTATCTCTAATTATGTACTCCCTTTATCTCAAAATAATAGTATTTTTTTAATTTGAGTTTGTTCCAAATTAATTGTCTTTTTTTTTTATTTTTTATTTTTCAAGGTAGATAAATATTTTTTCTCTACTTTAACCCTATTATTATCTATTTATTTTGATTGATTATCTTATTACAAAACACCTTATTTTATCTTTAAGTTTTTTTCTAAGGGTAATATAGGTAAATACATAAATAGTTCTTAAATCCTTAATTTGAAAAAAAGTAAAAAAATGACTGTTTATGGGGCAAAGGGAATACTATTTAAATAAGACTTCTTATTTAATATATATTATAATTATTTTTTAAAATAAAAATAAAATAGAAATAAACATATTAAATAATATTTTATCGTTAAAAAATAGTAAATAATATTCTAAAAAAATAAATAATTAAATTTGAATGTTTTAAGTAAGAAAGTAGATCTACCAAATTTAAATAAAGAAGGTAATAGTTTATGAGAAATTTCAACCACAAAGTAAGAATCGTCCTTTTTCCAAAAAAGAAAAAGAGACAGAAAAAAATGGAAGAGAAGGAGAAGACCCACGAGACCTTGTTATATTTTACAAGGAATATTATTCTTTTGATAAAGTTTCTTTATTTTTCTCCTTAAAAAAAATTAAGAATGACATTTTGTTTTGTGGTCCAGCTTGTACAGAATGACAACAACATATGCATGTAATGATGTAATACCAGAGATGATTTTAAGATAATTTTTTTTATATAATTTAATGTGTTACTTAAATGATTAATTTTTTTAATTTATATGAGATTTATGATATTAAATGTATCTATTTATTTAATATTATGTGAAAATTACTTTAAAAAGTGGTATAAAAATATTATTTTTAGAGCACCGTTTTATATAAAAAAGATAATTCTTTTACATTTTTTTTTAACAAAGTGTCAAAGGTCAGGTTAAACTTTGAATCCACCGGGGAGGGAGGCTGCACCTTCGAGGTGGCCCAAAATGTTAGGTGCAATTCTTTTACATATTTAATGATAAATTGTTGTATAAAATTTAATAATTTCTTTCCACTTTCAAATTTCTTCTTACCTTATTTAAATTTAAATTTAAAATATCTAAATTAAAATTTTAAATTCTTAATTGTTTAAGTGCCCTTGAGGGCTGACCGATTGAAACTCATGATAATTTCATTTATTTAAAAGCTTAAATTTTATACTTTTTTACAAGAAAATGAATTATAGATAATTTTTTATATTATTTTTTATATTTAATTAATTAATTTTTTTTAT